AAACTCTTTTTTCATATTTTGTTTCTTCTTATCTATAAATCTTCTTTCTTAAAAATTTTTATTATTCCTTTTTCTTTTATACACTTTCATTCTTTATTTATTTTTCTTCTTCTTTTTTGTTTTGAACTTACCTCTTACAACTTAAAACTAAAGAATAAATTGTATTTCTTTATGCTTGTTTTACTTTTGATTGATTGCGATGGAAAATAATAAAGACTAGCGTTACACAAATTAATAAGACTATTGCTTTCATTGCAAATCCATCTATTTCAATAGCAAAATTAACTGACTCAAGAAATGGCTCACCTACAATTTTATAACAAGGCACTGCTTTGCTTATATCTTTAGCTTGACATCCTTCAATTTTTAGAGTTTTCCATCCACAACAATTTGCTTCTTTTTCAATCTCTGTTATTTTATCTTGTTCACTTACTGAAGAAACTCCTAGTTGGAATATTTGTCCAATGATATAAACAATAAATAATAATACAATTGCTATTATATCAAAAATAATAGCAAAAATCGAAGCAATTTTACTTTGCAAGATTCCTGTAAGAAGAGATGGAATATTAAGAAAGATAGCTCCAATCATTGAGAAGTATAAATACACTAACGGATATTTTTCTGGATAAATAGATTCTGCACTATGAATTATGTTATAACAATAAATAATTGCATACACTTCTATTCCAATTACAACAGCTGTTGAAATTAATTGTATAATAGACAAAGTGGAATAGTTCATATTTATCTTTAGATTAATAACTTTTTAGTTTATTTTTTCATATTCAAATTAAATACTTATTTTATAAAAAAATTAAATAAAGTTATTTATTATCAATTTTATTTTCTCTAATGGACAAATGAACGTGCTGATTCTACTGCTTTATTCCAAACTGAAAATATTTGCTTTCTTTCTTCTTCACTCATTTGAGGTTTAAATACATGTTCAATTACTCTCATTGTGTCTAATTCATCTTCTTTAAATAAATGAACATATAACCCAGCTAACATAGCTGCTCCCATTGCAGTAATTTCTTTTTCTTTTAGTCTAATAACAGTACAATTGCATATATCTGCTTGAAACTGGAGCATACAATCAGACCTTGAAACCCCTCCATCCACTTTAATTTCATTAATTTTTCCCATAATTTCAATTACTTGAGCACATTGTAAAGCAATACTTTCTAGAGTAGCTCGAACTAATTCACCTTTTCCAGTACCACTAGTTAGTCCAACAATTATGCCACGAACGTCGTCATCCCAATAAGGTGTCCCAAGTCCTTGAAATGCTGGTACAAAATAAACCCCACCATTTTTGGAAGGAACGATTTTTGATATTTCATTGTAATCTTTTAATATTCCTATATCCCTTATCCATTTTAGTGCTGCTCCAGCAGTCATAACTGTGCCTTCAAGAGCATATGTTATCTTTCCATTAATTTCCCATCCAACAGTTGCTAATAATCCTTTTGGTATTTCTTTAATTGTATCTCCAATATTTTTTACAACGAAACACCCAGTTCCATATGTTGATTTACATCCTCCTATAGGACTTCCATGTCCAAAAAGTGATGCTTGTTGATCTCCAGCAACTCCAGTAATATGAATGCCATTAAATTCCTGAATAGTAGAAACAATACCAAAATCATCAGAGGATTGTTTAACTATTGGGAGAATAGATTTTGGAATATTTGTTTTTGCTAATAACTCATCGTCCCATTTCTTTTCATAAATATTAAACAATAAAGTACGTGCTGCATTTGATATATCAGTAGAATGACTTTGACCTCCAGTCAGATTATAGATAATCCATGTGTCAATAGTTCCAAACAATAAAACACCTTCTTCAGCTAATGCTTTTACACCTTCTACATGATTAAATATCCACATAATTTTACTAGCACTGAAATAAGGATTTAGTACTAGTCCAGTTTTAGAATGAAAAATCTCTTCATATCCTTTCTCCATAAGATAAGATGTTTCATTTCCTGATTGTTTAGACTGCCATACTATTGCATTGTAAATAGGTTTTCCGGTTCTTTTATCCCACATAACTGTAGTTTCTCTTTGATTAGTTATTCCAATAGCTGCAATGTCTTCTTTATTAATGCCAGTATTAACAAGACACTTTTTCATTAAGTTAACAACACCAGTATAAATTACTTCAGGATCTTGTTCAACCCAACCTGGATGTGGAAAAATAGAATCAAATTCTTCTTGTTCTGTATGAATTGACTGACACTTTTCATCAAATAGAATAACTCTAGTACTTGTAGTACCTTGATCAATAGCAAGGATATATTTCATCTTTTATTATAATGAATTGAAAGAATCAAAGATTCTAAAGATCTGAAAAAAGGAATGTTCTTCATTATTCTATTCTATTTAGATCAATTCTTTTGTTATTTGTGTTTAAAACACATACTAAAGAGATAATTAACAAGTCATTTATTAAAGTGAATATATTCTTTGAACCAATATTTGAATTTCTTCATTATAACAACTGTTCTTTGTTGTTTGTCCTTTGGCATTTAATACTTGTTGAATCAATTCATATACTTTTCTCCATTTATATAAATTAATTGTTCCATCACCTAGTTTATCTGGATTACCTTCGTCAATAAGCATTAAATCTTTACTTAGAATTCCTATAAAAGGGATATACGGTGTTTCCAATTGGCTTAAATACGCTCTAAGATATTTATAATTTTGTTTAAAAGAACATAATTCTTCTGTTTCATTTAAATAATTTTTATCTTCTTCACTAATTTTTTTACTTTTGATAGAATCTAAATCGAGTCTAGGAAGTGTATATGCTAATGCGACTAAGAAATGAATATCTTTTAATTGTTGAATTGTTTTCATAAATAATATTAATCCTTGAATAAATTGAATTTTGTCTCCTTTAGGACATTCATTAAAACAATTAACAATGGTAGTTCCAATCCAATTAAATCGTTCAATCATATTTTGAATATTTGGAGTTAACGGTTTATTTTCTGGTTTATTATAATTCATTACAATCAATTCTTCATATGTAACTCTTGAAAATATTAATGAATTAAAATAATTTAATGTTTGAGCAAAGGGCATAACATTTCCAGGTAAAAAGTATTGATAAGGTATTTTAATTTTTGTTTGAATAGGTAAAAATACTTTATTTCTCATTCTTAAAGCGAGCGCTGTTCCAACTCCACATAATGTTGAATTTAATACTTCAATTTTATCTGAATTTATTTCTTTTGAAATGAACGATCTAATCATACAAATTAATTCTGGTTTCTTTTCAAAATCAGCAATATAATTTCTAATCCATTGGTTAATAACTGAAAGAATACATGACCTAATTTCTTGACTAGTATTTGAGTTATTATAAACTTCTGAAAATCTTTTTAATACTTCTTCTGATGATGTAAATTTTTTATGTAACATTAAGAACATAT